CCCCCCCATGTTGTTGGAAGGTCTAGAATGAGCTGGTCCAGCTTACATACTTTTCGCTTGGATAATAAATTGTGTTGGTACTCTTTAAATTTGCCAATGTTATCTGTGAGCCCCGTTATGCTCTTCGTCAATTACCAATTTTAAATTTCAGAGATATTTTCGACGATCTATGCACAATGCGCGTTAAATCTGTTGGCGACTTCGAGTGGCAAAAACAAGCGAGATTCTACTATCACGAGGAAAATGATGATATCACAGTCGGCATAACGGATGTGAATTTCATATATCAGAATGAATATTTGGGTGTAACTGAACGATTGGCTATTACACCATTGACGGATCGTTGCTACATTACGTTGGCACAGGCTATAGGTAACTCTGAACCCATCAACTGAACTTAAATCTTACTTCCAAATACTCGTAGGCATGTCAATGGGTGGCGCACCCGCCGGACCGGCTGGTACTGGCAAGACGGAGACAACTAAGGACATGGGTCGTGCACTGGGCAAGTTGGTTGTGGTCTTCAATTGCTCAGATCAAATGGATTTCCGTGGCTTGGGCCGTATTTATAAAGGTCTGGCACAATCTGGCTCTTGGGGTTGCTTCGATGAGTTCAATCGCATTGAGTTGCCGGTGCTCTCGGTGGCGGCGCAACAGATCTACATAGTGCTGACAGCACGCAAGGAGAAACGTAGTTGGTTCCTCTTCAGTGACGGTGACACTGTGACACTAAATCCCGAATTTGGACTTTTCATTACAATGAATCCCGGCTATGCGGGACGTCAAGAGTTGCCTGAAAACTTGAAAATCATGTTTCGTTCGGTGGCCATGATGGTGCCAGATCGCGCTATTATTATACGTGTCAAATTGGCCAGTTGTGGTTTCAAGGAGAATTTGGTGTTGTCACGTAAATTCTATACGCTCTACAAGCTATGCGAAGAGCAACTCTCCAAGCAAGTACACTACGATTTTGGCTTGCGTAATATTTTATCAGTGCTGCGTACGTTGGGCGCACAAAAGCGCGCCAATCCCAGCGATACGGAAGAGACGATCGTGATGCGCGTGTTGCGTGACATGAATGTCTCCAAACTGATTGATGAAGATGAAGGTCTATTCGTTTCACTGATCGATGATATGTTCCCGGGTATTAAGTTGACGCAGGCATCCTACAAAGATCTGCAGCGTGCCATACCGAAGGTGGCGGACGAATTGGGTTATGTGAATAATCCTGAATGGAATTTGAAAGTCGTACAGTTGTATGAAACTTCGCTGGTGCGACACGGTTTGATGTTGATGGGACCGACCGGTTCGGGCAAGACGAGCTGTACACATGCTATGCTAAGGTGCTTCACCGAAATGGGACAGCCGCATAAGGAGATGCGTATGAACCCGAAGGTGAGTGAAAGATAAATTTATGAAATATGAAAAAATGGTTTTGTTCGTTAGCGCACGTCAAGAGTACTTAACCTATTTAATTATGGAACTTTTTATAAAAATTCCCCTTTGATGTGTGAACTCCTTCGCTAACCGAGCAGAAAATTTATAGCTGCTTCTTGTGTAACCCAGGACCATTTCGGGACTAGTTTAGGACCATTGCGTTTTCATTTTGGGACCTGTAAAAGCTCATTTCAGTACTATTTCGGGACCATTTCAGTATCATTTTGGAACTAGTTCAGGAATAATTTGGGCCCATTTTAGGATTAATAAGGGACTCTTTCGGGATCGTTTCAAGACTTCGATTCGAGAGCATTTCGGGACAAACACGTGACTCTTTCGAACGTTTCGGGGCCTTTTCAGGGCTATTTATGGACAGTTTCGGGACTAGTTCGGGACCTGTTCAGGGCTATTTCAGGACCTTTTCGGAGCTTTTCAAATAGAATTTCCGGACCAGTTCGGATTCATTTCGGGGCTTGTTTAGGATTATTTTAGGACTGGTCAGCACCATTTCGGGATAGTTCACGACTATTTCATGACCAGTTCAGGACTTTTTCAAAAAAATTTGGGACTAGCTCAGGTTCTTTTTGGGAATTGATCAGGAGCGTTTCGGGATTAGTTCGGGATCATGTTGGCCTAGTCTCAGGGACCGACTTTCTGGACAAGCTCACGACCTTTTCAGAACCACTTCAGGACTGTGTCAGGACAATTGTGGGACTAGTTCGGGATAATTCGAGGAAGTTCGAAACTAGTCACGAAATGATCCTGAACTATTCCCGAAGTGGTTATGAAAAAGTCGTGTACTGGTCCCGTCAAAATGAAATTAATTTTAATGTTTAATTTCTAACCTAACCTATTTATGTTCATACATATATGTAACTGAGTCGCCTAACGCTTTGCCAAGCCGTACATAGATGTTTACACATCAAATTTCATGAGTACCTGGTACTCAAGTCGTTTTTATGGCAAAAAGCATCAATATAAATTTTGTACAAGCGACAAATCACAGAACTGTCTTCATTAAAAAAAAATCAAATCAAAAACGTTTTTAATATACCACGTTTCTTTTCGATTTTATATCGTGTGAAATGCAACCCGAAAATTTGCTATCCGCAGGCCATTACTGCACCGCAAATGTTCGGACGCCTCGATGTGGCCACCAATGATTGGACCGATGGTATTTTCTCAACACTGTGGAGACGTTCGCTAAAAATACCGAAGCATCAAAATTGCTGGATTGTGCTAGATGGACCCGTGGATGCGGTGTGGATTGAAAATTTGAACTCTGTGTTAGACGATAACAAAACCTTAACCTTGGCCAATGGTGATCGTATTAAAATGGCGGATAACTCAAAGTTGGTATTCGAGCCAGATAATGTGGACAATGCTTCACCGGCTACGGTTAGTCGCGTCGGTATGACATTCATGAGTTCATCGGTGCTGAAGTGGACGGTCTATATGGAAGGTAAGTGGAGGGTAATTAATCAAAAAAAAAGTGTTGAGGTCTATCAGGATCTCTGTGCACCATTTGCCAAACCTTTAATTTCATCGTATTTTCTTCATTTACCAGCTTGGGTCCGCAAACAACCCGCCGCTGAAGCAGATGTATACCGACGTTGCTATGGTGCGATCTATGATGATGCACATTTCTTCCTACAAACTAAGCTAATGGCGAAAATGCGCATTTTGGAAGCAATCTATATCAAGCAGATGCTCGAAATTATGGACGGCATGCTGGAGGAGTGTAGCAATAGAAGCGACAGATATCTGGAACGTATGTTTCTATTCGCGTTGATGTGGACGTTGGGCGCTGTGCTGGAAATCAGTGAGCGTGATAAATTTGAAGAATACGTCGTTAAACATCCATCAAAGCTAAGTAAGTAATATTTTAGATAATTTAGTCTTTTTTTACAATATTTTACAACTTTACAGAATGGCCCAAGAGGCAGCCGAACGAGACCATATTCGAATATTATGTTGACGATCAGGGTTTGTGGCAGCATTGGAATACGCGCGTGGAGGATTTTGTCTATCCTGAAGATAGCATACCGGAGTTTGCCTCTATTTTGGTACCGAACGTCGATAATGTACGTACCGCATATCTGATGCATAATATTGCCAAGCAGCGCAAGCAGGTCTTGCTAATTGGTGAGCAGGGTACTGCCAAGACAGTGATGATTAAAGGATATATGGCGCAATATGATCCGGAGCAACATTTATCAAAGTCATTTAACTTTTCATCAGCAACAACACCAAATATGTACCAGGTAAAATATACATATGTAGATAAATACAAGAATATGCTTACCCCGACGTTTTATTTATTTATATTTTTCATATAAAATTTTTCTTATTTTTTGTATAAAAGAATCAATTTCATTAATTTCATATGGAACTCGGGAAAATTCAAGAAATACCAAGAAATTTTAATTTTTTTTTTTTGTAATTTAAAGTTACTTCCTAATTCTTTATAAGAAGAATTAATTGGCCAGCAAAAAAGCTTAAAACGCCATCTCCAATTTTAAATTAAATTATAAAATTATAAATCAATTTTAATGTCCTTTAAAAAATTAGTGATAGATTTATATGCTTTGCCATTAGTATTTTGATGAAATTCAATTAATGATGAAGTATTTTTGAGTATTGGGTATTTATCACGTGAATTGTTATATTTGTTACATTTGAAAATTATATGATCAGTATTTTCAATTGTATTACAAAATTCGCAATTTGGGTTTGGAAAAATATTCATTTTTGATAATGTCTCCTTGCAGAAAGTGTGATTTGTTAGAATTCTATTAATTTGTTTAACTTCTATTGGTGTCATTTTATTTGAATTTTTATGAAACCATGGTTTATTCTGAATGTTTGGAAATATTTCTCCATAAGATTTTCCTTTAGTTATAATATTATTAGAATAAAATTCTTGCCACTCTTCATTTATTTTACTTTTAATTTCTATTATAGCATCTTTAATAGACCATAAAGTTTGAATTCTTTGACCATTCTGTAAAGCAGTGGAAGCTGCTTTATCCACTTTTTCGTTTAATTCAATACCACTATGGGCTGGGATATGATGTAATTCTAAAATTTCAATTGATGAATTATTAAGATCCGTTATCATTTTTTTTGCTATATAATTATTACAGTTCTCATTTGAAAGAGTCATTAGACTACTTAAACTGTCTGTAAGAATGGCAATTTTTTTAAATTGATTAATTATTGAAAAATCAATAGCTTTATAAATCGCTAATAGTTCAGCTGACATTGAAGACATTTTTTTGTCACAGAAAAAGGATTTTTCAGTTGAAGATTTCTCGTGTAAAAAAGCCAAATGGGTTTGGTTATTTTTAATAGAACCATCTGTATATATTGTTTCAAAATTTTGTTGTTCAAGATTTTTGAGTTTTTCAATATATAATTTAGAAATTAAATCTTGATTAGCAGATTTTTTATTTTGTATTGATCCTTTAAAAAAAAATTTATCAAATTTAATTTTTGGAGAATTAAGGGGAGTATCTGGAACTAAAGCAATATTACAAAAAATTGATTTAAATTTATTATATATTTAAAAATAACTAGTTTTTTTATTAAGTTCATTTGTAAGAATTGTGTCTTTTATTGGTAAATTATATGCAATGCATTTAATTATTTCTTTAGCTGTTGTCAATTCAAAACGAAATTTGGATGGTAATTCTGATGCCATATGATAAATAATATGAGTTGGAGTAGATCTAATAAGACCTAGACAACGCCTGATATTTGCATTACAGCAAGTATTAAGCTTTTGTAAAGCAGACTGAGATATATTGGCAAAAGTTGAACAAGCATAATCCATTTTGGAACGAGCAAAAGCTTTATAAAGTTGAAGTGCTTTCGAAGGGTGTATTCCAAATTTACAACCACTAATAATATTAAGAAAACTACACGTTTTATTTGTTTTCTCATTGATTTGATTAACATGATCATTGCATGCATTATTTATGTTAATAATTCTACCAAGATATTTAATTTTACGTACTTGTTCAATATTAATATTATTAATTTGAGAGTTTCTTTGGTTAAAATATATTACTTTAGTTTTGAGAAAATTTATGTTTAAGTTAATTTTATTACATTCAATATTTAATTGGTTAATTTTGTCTTTTAATAATTGTTTGGTTTGATTTTGTTT